ATATAACATGAACCAAGTGACAAGATCCGAACTTTTTACCTGCTAATGAAGCTTTAACCCTATCAAAGCTCAGATCTACACTTGAGCACCACTTCTAGCCTCTCCAATAAGCTCTTCTTCTCCTTTGCAACCTTGGAATGACACCACCAAGCTTAGAATACACACACAAAGGCTTAAGAACGAAGGCACACACTATTTAGGGTTTCACTCTGAGGAATGGTGGCTGAGAAGTCCAGCCACACATTCCTTTTTATATCCCTCCAAAGAGATTAGGGTTTTTAGATATGGGCAAGTTACGCCATGCGTAAACTTGGGTACGCCCAAGCGTACCTAAGGGGGAACGCGTCCAAATGAGGCGCGCGAGTACGCGCGGCGTACGCCTTGTACGCCCAGCGTACTCGCCTAGCATGAAACCCTAAATTAACAATATAACCCAAAATAGAAGAATACATGGATTCAGGCTGTTACATTTAGAACCAAAATCTGAAGTTTGGTAATTTTTATTAACTGTTTATTATTTTTCATAATTTTATGGTTATTTGAGAAACTAAAGTGGTGAAAAATAGTTAGACAAATCAAAAATTCAAGAAAATTTATCTTGAGGTCTTTGACTTCAATTAAAACTAAAATGCAAATTTTGGGAAATTTTAGAACTAAATTGATTTAATTTTGAATATTTAATCATTGGAACACCTCTAAAATGTTAAATATTAACATTTCAATAATGGAAATTTTCCGCTTAAATTGTTATATAACAATTGATACTTTGAAACTTAATTTCCACAGAAAAATATTTATAATTTATCAATATTCAATTGTGACTCAGTATTGGCATAATTCTATTGTAGTAGTAAGTTTACTAGTGTTACATTTCGATTAGAGACTCACTATTGAATACCAATATTGTAGGAATCGGTAGTGGTACATGTGGAACATAGTCAAGGCACCATTTGCATCATCTCAATGTATTGCGAGTATTCACCAATCCCCTATTTTCGATTTTTAAATGTTTTGGGGTGGAAAAGCATGTCCTAAACTATTTATATCGTTGTATTTATTTAACTCGTATAAACTTGGTTGCTATATTTAGCATATTGTGAGTATTCACCAATCCCCTATTTTCGATTTTTAAATGTTTTGGGGTGGAAAATCATGTCCTAAACTATTTATATCCGTTGTATTTATTTAACTCATATAATCTTGGTTGCTATATTTAGCATATTGTGAGTATTCACCAATCCCCTATTTTCGATTTTTAAATGTTTTGGGGTGGAAAAGCATGTCCTAAACTATTTATATCCGTTGTATTTATTTAACTCGTATAAACTTGGTTGTTATATTTAGCATATTGTGAGTATTCACGCACTCCCCTATTTTCAGTTTTTATGTTTTGGGGTGGAAAAGCATGTCCAGAAAAACTATTATTTGCATGTTGTATTTAAATTGATTTGTATCAAACATGATTGCTATTGTATTGTTATGTCTCTCTATGTATGTCTATGCAATAAGGAACATGAGAACTTATTATACTAAGGCTCTTCCCTTATCTCTAACCATTAACTCTTTGAGCCAATGGTCATTATGGATAGCACTATTAGAAATTGACAACTTCTCACTCGCCCTATTGCTGGAGTGCATGATACCATATTCATCTATGGAACGATAAGCATAGATCTCGATAGGGCTTCAGTCATAGGTTTGGTTGAGACTTATTGTTTGTTCATACTCATACAAACTCGTTTCTCGTTATAGCAATAAACTTGTATTCATTAATAGCAATCAACTTTGTTTCTCATTAAAGCAATGTACTTGAAATTACGAAAAGCTTTATTTCAAGCTCGATTTTATAAACTTGTGAACTCACCAACTATTTTTATAGTTGACGCTCGTTTTACATGCTTTTTCAGGAATCATCGAGTAAGTGGCACTTAGGGACACTTCACTTTTAGGAGCATTCGCATGTGTTGTATTTCAATTTACATTGTAATTTCTTTTAAAAGTTGTTCAAACCCATTGTAAAATTGTAATGCTTTTTAATACTATGGTTGGTGTTGTCTTTTAACTTTTGCTATGAAACCCTTTGTACTGCCACGCCCTGTGTTTCCGCTTTAGCGGGGTGTGACAGATTAAGTTAGTAGTAACGTGCGACACCATTAAGGATCGTTCGAAAACTGTAGTTATAAACTAGTGATTTTCTAATGCGTGGGTATAACAACTCACAACCCAAATTAATCCAGCGCCACCCGAGAAATCAAAATCATTCGTCGTGACAGTATACCAATTAAGAAATCACTGTATTTTATGTATTGGGGAAAACATCGGGTTTTCCTGGGAAATTCAACATTTTCAATTGTTTGATTAATACTAAAGTTCAACATTTATACATGTTTTAAAAAAATCAACAAGCATATATTTACGGATCTTCACACTTTTTATAAACAATGATCTTTTCAGAAAATATCGGATATTCTAGGTTTTACAAACTACACAAAATGATTTTATCACAACATTGCTTATGAACTCACAAGCATTTCATATGTTGATGTTTTTCAAAATTAACTTGTATTCTCAGGTAACAGGTAAACCGAAGAATACGTATCAAGTAATGTTAGGGTGTTTTGCGTATGATATCTATCAGACAATTATGTTATGAATTTGTAATGTTTAAAACAAAGTACTGGATGTAAACAATATCAATTGTACTATTTTAATGCATGGTGATGATTTATGTTATGATTCATATATATTCATTGTGATGGTATTCAATTTAAGTCACAAGAGCCCTCAGACGTTTTCGCCGTCCGGTTCGGGGGTGTGACAATTAATTAGCAATAGAGTTATCGATGATACCACTCCTGCTTCAACGAGTGGGTTGATTGGTTTCACTAACCCACTTCATCATCTTTCTCTACTTTCTCTTTCTCATTTTCTTTTGTACCATGTGTCTTAAAACTTGTACCTTGGTTGTTTTGTATTTTTTTAATTGAGTAAGTGGATTAAAAAAGATAGGATTTCCGTGTGTTATGGGTTTGGAAAGATGAAGAAAAAGAAAAGACAAAAAGTTATGTGAAAGTGAGTTCGGTAGGTCTGGAGGTAACGACTCCCTCTTATCCCCCTTAGGGAGGAGGGAGTCGTTCCCATTGAACCCACTGAACCTACTGTCACATCAGCTTTTCTCTTTGATTTTTCATCTTTCCAAATCCACAACACACGAAAATCCTATCTTTCTCAACCCACTCAACCCACTTAATTAAAAAAATATATACAAAATAATCAAGGTAAAATCTTAATTAGCAATAGAGTTACTGCCGGTACCACTCCCTCTTCGACGAGTTGTTTAATTTGTTTCACGAACTCACTTCATTCTCTCTCTTATTTTCTTTTGTATCATATGTTTTAAGACTTGTACCTTAGTTGTTTAGTTTTTTTTTAATTGAATGGGTTGAAAAAGATAAGGTTGCGTTTAGTTACGGAAAAACAATTTTCATTTTCCGTTTTTTGTTTTCCCTTTTCGATTTTCGTTTTCCGTTTTCATTTTTCATTGAAAAATTTAGAAAACGCGTTTAGTTAAACTTATTCATTTTTCATTTTCAGTTTTAGAAAATTTGAAAACGTATTTAGATGTGTATTTTTCTATCGGTTTTCATTTTTAAAAAACGGTAGCGGTGGTAAGGAGTGGGTGGTGGTGGTGACGGTAGCGGGTCGGCGGCGGTAGTGGTGATGACAGGCGATGGTGGTGGTGGCGGCAATTGTGTCAGTGGTGGTGATGGTGGCGGTAGCGGTGGTGGTGGTGGTGGTGATGGTAGATCGATGATTGTCGTGGTGGTGGGGGTGTGAGTGTGTGTTTGTGGGGATAGGTGTAGGTTTGTGTGTGTATGGGTGTGTGTCTGTAAGGGTGGGAGTGGGGGTAGGTGTGGGTTTGTGTGTGGATGTGTGTGTGGGTGGGTATGTATGTGTGTATGTGTGGGTTGGTGTGTGTGTGTGTGTATGGGTGGGTATGTATGTGCATGTATGTTTGTGGGTTGGTGTGTGTGTGTATGGGGGTGGGTATGTATGTGTGTGTGTTTGTGGGTGTGTGTGGATGGGTATGTATGTGTATGTGTGTGTGTGTGTGTGGGGGGGGGGGGGTGGTGATGGTGTGTGTGTGTGTGTACGGGTAGGTGTGTGTGTGTGTTTGTAGGTGGGTGTGTGTGTGGGTGGGTATGTATGTGTATGTATGAGTTGGTGTGTGTGTGTGCGGGTAGGGGTGTGTGTGTGTGGGGGGGGGGGGGTGGGTATGTATGTGTGTGTGTTTGTAGGTGGGTGTGTGTGTATGTGTGTGGGTTGGTGTGTGTGTGCGGGTGGGTGTGTGGGTGGGTATGTATGTGTGTGTTTGTGGGTGGGTATGTATGTGTATGTGTGTGGGTTTGTGTGTGTGTGTGCACGGGTCGATGTATCCGTGTGTGTGTGTGGGTATGTATGTATGTGGGTGGGTGTGTTTGTGGGTGGGTGTGTGTGGGTGAATATGTATGTGTGTGTGTGGGTTGGTGTGTATGTGTGTAAGTGGGTATGTATGTATGTGTGGGTTGGGGTGTGTGTGTGTGTGTGTAAGTGGGTATGTATGTATGTGTGTGTGTGTGTTTGTGGGTTGGTGTGTGTGTGTGTGGGGGGTGGGTGGGTATGTATGTGTGTGTGTGTGAGGGTGGGTGCGGGTAGGTAGAGGTGGATGGGGTGGAGTGGGTGTGTGTTTATAGAAAAAATTTGAAATTAGAAAAATATGGAAAACAATGATTATCAGTTTTCCAAAAATTTTCAACTTCTTTGTAATTTTAGAAAAATGGAAAATTTTCATTTTCCGTGAAAAATTTAGAAAAATAGACGAACTAAATGCGTTTTGAAAATTCTCATTTTTCTTGGAAAATTTTTCCGGAAAACGGCCCATTTTTCCGCAACTAAACGCACCCTAAGATTTTCGTATGTTGTGGGTTTGAAAAGATGAAGAAAAATCAAAGTGAAAAGCTATGTCGCGTTGGGTTGATTGGGAAGACTCCCTCTCCCTTACGCCTTGTTCCCGAGTTCTACTTAAGGAGAGAAATGGGAGGATACGGAGGGAAAGTGAGGGGTGTCGAAGGAAAATCGTGTTCCCGAGTTTCATTAATGGAAGGAAAGTGAGGGGAGGGGAAGGATTTTGGAGTCAAAATTTCCTTCCAAATTTTCCTCCCAAATTGGGCGGATTTGGGAAGAAAGTGAGGGAAAGGTAAATTTTATGTTTTATTTTATTTTTCCTCCTAATTCGGGAACACAAAAACTTAAAATTTTCCTTTTATTTCCTTTCGTTTCCTTCAAACTCGGCAACACGAAATAATGAATATTTTCCTTTCACCTCTTTTTTTCCGTCATAATTTTCCAAAAAAAAAAAAAAAAAAAAAAAAAAAAAAAAAAAAAAAAAGTCGGGAACAAGGCGTAATAGATCGACCTTTTATAAAATGTTCAATGGTGTCTAAAAGAGGTGCATCAAACTTGAAAACGGAATATCCCGTTTTTTACGGGTCGGTCAAGGATCTCTCATCCAGACACATGTGAATCACTAGTCAACCCCTTCTACTTTATTAAACTCCGGCGACGAGTCGCAGCCCTGGCCCGGTCAATACCCTACCGGGGAATTCTCTGCAAGGCTTTGCTAGCTGATTCATGGAAGAAATAATCAATTCATCGTCAAAACTTACTTCAACATGCATCTATATTTCAGCAACTTCCGTAAATGCGAAGAACCGGAAATCAAATCCCCAGTCAAAGGGGTTTTTGTCTTCATTTATGATAGTCTAGCCGGTGAGAATGATGGGAGGAGAGAGAGGAATTGAATATGAATCTAAGCTTTGAATTCACACTACCATACGTTAGGTACGATGCACACAATTTCAACTACTTTGTCTGTAATTTTAATTTATTTGACAACTGCATCACCACATGTATGGTAGTAGGCAGCTGTACGCAGTCTGTGCCTTACGTTTTCTCCTTTTTACACTTTTCCTTGTATAATATATATAGGAGCTATGTTTAATACTGTTTCTTTTGGACTTTGAGCATCTATCATTGTAGATGCCCTTATAGGACCGATAATTTCTAGAAGATCATTCCTCATTCCGCGTTCATTTATATCAATTTTCCGATCAAGGTTTGCTGTATTCTGCTTCCATCCACGAGCTTCTATTGGTTTCAGGTGCGTTTGTTTCCATTTCTTTTTGTTACATACGAATTTTCATCGTTTCTCTCAAAACAAGAGAAATATTGAAATGAAACTGCTATTTTTAGGGATTGGGGAATTCAGAAATTGCTTTTAGTTTAGATGAGTAAGCCAGTTCATGAGTCCTTAAAAATAGAGGATTCTTAGGAAGAATTATATTTTGAGCATCACAAATTTAGGAATTTGGATTTCATTTTTCGTCAGCAGTGTAAATTCTTCAATAATTTAGCATCGTATTTGCAGCATTTTTTTTTCTGGTTCCTTAAGAAGATTCTGATAGAATCCTAATTACCCGTTTATTGGAAATTTACTATCCAGTTCATGTGTATTTATTGGGAACGAAAGTAAATAATTCTCATTTTAGTCCTAAAACCACATCACCAAATGGACATTTTAGGGCTATTTTTGTCCCTCTTTTTTGAATAGGACAAAATTTAGTTCATGTCCCACCTTCTTCCAGATTTTCTTTTTTGTCATGGTTACTTAAAAAGCACCTGTACAACAGGGTTGAAATATCGTACTGTTTCTACAATGTCGAGTTTGGAGGAGCCTCTTGGTATGGACAAATTGCCAAGCCTAAGCACCATTGATCTTTTCCATAGACTCTCATCCAACGGTTGTAGCACAAGTGGAGGGGACACTGGAATGGGAAATTACTGGATTGAGGGAAATACTTCCACCTCCTCAAATAGTGATGAGTATGTGTCTTTTTCTAACTCTTTCCTTTTTGTATCACATCTATGTTTTTGTAATTGTTGCATACATGAAACTGAAAAACAGCGTGTTTGATCTTAAGAGAAAGTTTACTACTTTACTTATTGTAAGTATTCTCAGGGATGATTTTGAGTATGAAAAAGGAGCATTCTTTTTGAGACATAAAGCAAGAGATATGTCTCAAAGCCAAGGGAGGAACCATGTAGGATATGAACATTTACCATACTTTCAGCATAATGATGTAGGCCTACACTACATAACAAATCAGGTGAAAACCAATAAGCATAAGCTTCTAAGGTCAAATGTAGTTATTTATCTTCAAAATTCAATAAATTCTTCAAATTTGAATGGAATTGCGATAACCCATCTTGCTCTTTAGCTAATCTTTAAATAAAAGTTTGTTGGTGTTACATTTTATATAAGCGATCTATACCAATTTTAACTTTTTAAAGGTACTTGACCTCAAATGTGATTAATATATTCAACTTATTTTTTTTTAAAGATTTTCAAAGGCATACCAAAGTATGTGAAGATAGTGGAAGTTGGTGCAAGGGATGGATTACAAAATGAAAAGAATATTGTTCCTACATCTGTTAAAATACAACTAATTCAAAGACTTATTTCTACTGGATTATCCGTTGTTGAAGCCACAAGCTTCGTTTCCCCAAAATGGGTCCCTCAGGTATCTTTTCTCACACTAGCATTTATGCCGGACAAGCTTTCTAAAACTATTTTTAATGACGGAACATGGGGAGGGCATTTACGTCTTTTGCACAGACGAGAGATATGCGTTCCGCCTTTTTGTGTGAGGCAAAGTCACAAAACGTTGCAATTTTTGTCCAATTGACGATCTTGTATAACGTATCATTATTTTTTTTTTTTTATCTATTTCTTGTGCCTTTTAATTTCAATCTTACATGTTTTTGATGAAGCTGGCAGATGCAAAGGATGTTATTGAAGCATTTAAAAGCTTTGATTCTGTGAGATTGCCTGCATTGGTTCCTAATATGAAAGTGAGTAATATACTAATATTCCTCCAAAACTAGAGAATAATTAATTGTGTTTGCACTTTGCATACATAAACTCATAAACATTTATTTTTGTTTCAACTAGGGTTTTGAAGCTGCCATTGCAGCTGGAGCAAAGGAAATAGCTGTTTTTACATCAGCATCCGAGTCATTCTCAAAGTCAAACATTAATTGCACTATTCAAGAAAGTCTTGCTCGTTATCGTGCTGTTGTATCTGCTGCCACAAAGCTCTCTATTCCTGTTCGTGGGTATGCTCTTAATTCCTTATGGTATGTGTTAAATCGTTAATGAGGATGAGAAGGGCATTTACGTCTTTTGTACCATACAAAAAATAGGAGTTTTTGTCCTATTAAAAAATGTCGTGGTCTCGGTACTAATACATGTCAAACGCAGTACAACCTGTTTTTTCCTCTGTCCTACATAACAAAAACTTTCCTATTTATTTAAAATTGAAAAGAGAAGTTGTACTATTTATTTATTTATTTACATAAAAAGTTTATTGTTTAATGTTATTTCTTGTAATGCAGATATGTGTCGTGTGTGATTGGATGCCCGGTTGATGGAATGACGCCTCCATCAAAAGTTGCATACGTGGCAAAAGAACTTCATGACATGGGTTGTTATGAAATATCACTTGGGGATACTATTGGCATTGGGACACCAGGTAAATTATCTCAATCATATTTATTTTCATAATTTAATTATTTTTTTTATTAATTTATAATTGATGTATATTTTTTGTGTAGGCACGGTTATTACAATGCTTGGAGCAGTGATGGCAGTTGTTCCTGTTGAAAAGCTTGCGGTTCATTTTCATGACACTTATGGCCAATCTCTTCCAAATATTTTAGTGTCCCTCCAGGTAAAGTTAAAAGTTAAAAACCAAATTAGATTATAGTAAAAGCAAAAAGGTTAAAAATGACTATTTTTAGTCACTCGACTTATTTTTGTCCGCGTTTAGGTAATGAATTTTCAAAAGTCGTCTCATTTTAGTCCCTTTAACTGGAAATAGCCCTTAACCTGCTTATGTGGCCTTTGTGACTTTTTAAATGAAAGGGGTTGCAGTTTGGGTTTATTGGTTTTTGTCTTAAGATGAGATGATTTTGGTTATCAATATAGTGTTATTTTTAACTATATTTGACATTTGTTTACTTTTGATCATTATGATTATTTAATATGTGAACCATTGTTAGTAAGGTAACGAAATTAATTTATAGTTTTATATTATTTTTAACTATTGTTATTGTTAATGAAATTAAAAACTATTTATATGGAAATTTTTTATTATTATAAAAAAATCGTTTTGGATTTTTTTAAGTTAACTGACATGTCAATATAGGTTTTACGTTTAAAATATTTAAACGTTTTGAACTTTAAAAAAATTGAATATGTTTTTTACGTTTATTTGATATTTTGATTTATGTTTTGAACTTAACATTATATTTAAATCAACATTTTAAGTATATTATTCATAATTTATTAAAGTCCCCCATCAATATGATAATATTCCACATTAATAACATATTTATGTTAACAAATTAGATATTTTAAGTTGAAATTCAGAGAGTTTGAATTTTTCAAATCCATATAGTATATAATAATTAATAGATACAATAAACTTATAAAAGAAAATTGAAGTTAGTTTTTTCTAACTTATATGATTATGATTAACAAAAATATAAGTTAAGTTTAACTTTAAACTTTATAAATGTTGGATAGTTTATATGTTAAAATCTTGCAGAATAACCCCTAATTTTATACACAAATCTTCACACTACATATTTGCCTTTTCATATAATGCAATCTATTAGATAGAATTATGAAGGTAACAAATAACAGATGTGAGAAGTGAGAAGACATAATGGACTAATACATTAAGCATGTCTAAACGGGTTAAAGTGAGAAGACATCACTTCACTCATTCAGACACTTCATTCATTCGGTCCAAAAAAAAGAAAAAAGTCTTTATGCATACGACACTTACTCCATACAAACATCATTCATATAAATTGTAATTGTTGTTGACAGATGGGAATAAGCACAATAGATTCATCCATCGCAGGATTAGGAGGGTGCCCATATGCCAAGGGTGCTTCGGGAAATGTGGCTACTGAGGATGTGGTTTACATGCTTGATGGCCTTGGTATCAAAACCAATGTTGATCTACGTAAGCTTTTGCAAACGGGCGAGTTTATCTGTAAACATTTAGGACGCCCATCAGGGTCGAAAGCCGCGCTCGCATTTAGCCATAAGAATTAAAGAATGCAAATGTTCATTAATTGTATACAAACAATTGCATTTTCTCTAATATATATAGGCTACTATATGCTATAGTTAAAATGATTGAGATATCGATGTTAACTATGATATGCGATTAGTATTTGTTGTGTACCTGTATGAGTTGTACGGTTTACCTTTTTATAAAACTAGTGAGATGGTCTCCGCGTTGCAACGAATTAATAATCATATATTTAAGACACCATCTTTTGGAAATAAAACGGCCATTTATGTGATATTTAAGTTAAATAGGGACCATTTCCCTAAGTTTCTGAAATGTGGGGAGCATTTTTGTAATTTTTTGAAAGAGGGATAGTTTTTGTAAATTTGTTATTAGGCATGGACCATTTCTGTAAATTATCTATTAGGCCGTGACTATTTCTCTAGGAGAGGTGATATTTCTATGTGTTTTTTTATTCATCAACTTAAATAACTTATATAAATAAGGTGTTATCATGATTCTCTTTCTTCAATTAAAATAAAAGATATAAGAGTTAAAACATCTTATCTTCTATTTTTTATTAGATGAATCATTTTTCCTTTTTCTATTTTCTTATCTATATAAACTATGTAAATTTCAAATTAAACATGGTCTATTTTTGCAAATATTTGATAATACAGGAAGCAAATACAATTTCTACAAGTATTTGATAATATACGGATGGAATTTTTAATTACAAAAGTCAACAATATATAAGGACCAAAAAAATCATTTTTTATTTGAAATTTAGACCGAATGTAACATCTTTAAAAATTTTAGAAATTTAATTGTACGTGAATTTAGAGAAAAGGGAAAAATGGTCAAAATATTTGTAAGTTGGATTTACGTGATATATGTTCAAAATGATATTTGAAACTGTTAGAATAATTGTTGGATTTTGGTTTAGATAAATTGTTGTGTAATATGAATTTATATGGGATGAAGATGTGTTTTTGGTTAAGCACAAAAACTGTAGCCCAAGGTACGTGATGTGTAAGTTGGATTTACGAGATGCGTAGAGATTTTTGACATAAACAATGTTGTACGTTGCTATTTAATGATTGGGCATTCTACTATGCAAAATGTGATGCGTTTGAATGTACAATATTGAGTAAGAGTAAGAACGTGGCACATGCACAAGGGACTAACACGTAGCAACTTAAAATTATAACACCCGGTTTCAGGTATAATTTCAATACTAATATTTTGGGAATTCTTGATGGCCATGACGTGGCAGAGGGATCTCCACGATATGGCATTCCTGCATGCAATGCACATCTCATTAAGGCAACACGACGTGGTCATGGAATGGCGACAACATAGTGGAGGCATAATGCCAAACTTTAATTTTTCGGACTTAAGGTCCTATTTAAAGGAAGTGATGACTAGAGTTTCCTCCACCCTCAACATTCATCATCTCGAAAGAACCCTTGATTAAACCCTAGCCCCCTTGCAAGTTTTGAGTTCATCTTTGGTGTTTTTATGATGTTCGAAGGAAGAAGAAGGAGTCTCTAGTGCAAGAATCCAGCAAGCAAGCCACCTCCATAATTTTGTGCACCTTCTAGACTATTTGTAATTCCTCAACTTCCATATTGGTGATTTCTTTCTTGTAGATCTAGCTTCCTTAACATGTTTTGGTCTATAAATGAATTTTGAATGATGAAATAAGATAAAGTTTCCAACTTTATGGCTCACTTAGGTCCTTTGAGACTAATATCTTCTAAATCTAGAAGTTGGATGATTTGTAAGCTTTGCATGAGTTTTAGGCCAACTTCTTACCATTTGATCTAGCTTGAGTGAAGGACATGCATGGGACATGCATATCCGTAAAGTCCATATTTTTATGATCTTTTGGAGTCCCTATAAGCCTTCTATAAAGTTGGAACGAAAGGCTTAATGGATTAACGGCTTAATCCGTTAAGCTATTTGGAAGCAGTAACCACAGCGTAACATGGTGCTCGCCACGATGTAGTAAGCGTAGTTTGCATGGTAGATTTAGCATTTAGCTGGCACAATGTGGCTATAGGTTGGCCATGACATGGTGTTCTTCTGGGTTGAATTTTTGATCGGAGTGACTTTTGGTCAATAGGCTAGTTTTAGAGTGTATACTAAGGCTTGGCCTTGGGTGTGTCGATAGGTGGATTATAGCATCGGTTTATTGTTCAAGCTGTGATTTACCCGACTGAGTGTAAGGTGAGTCTTCTCACTCTACTATGTATGTTGCTAGACTGTTTTTGTGACTTCAACATGAAAGACCATGGGAGGACCATGTCACTTGTATGAGATGTCACACCTTCCCTAACCGTTACCGAAAATGCTAAGTGGTGACGGTATTTACATAAATTATCCTAATCACAGAGTGCAAACTATAACTGTCTTTTTCTAACGAAATCTATTACAAGGAATTAAACAAAACCTATCTATCTTCAAGCTGATTATCCTTCCTCGCCTTGATCCTTACTGCATCATAGGAATACATGCGGTTTTGAAAACGTCAACTTGATGTTGGTGAGCCCATAAGTTTGAGATAAACAAATAATAAATTCTTTTTGAAAACTTTTTAGGAATTTTTATGATGATTATGATCATTTAACTTATATTCCTTATTTCATATGCTTATTATATTACCTCTTTCAAAATTTCCTTTTATTTGGTAATTTAATCTATCTTATTATCTTTGTAGGATACTTTGTCTCTCTTATCTTATTATCTTTTCATGATATTCTACTAATCCTAACTTATCATTTCTATAGGATACTTTACCAATCCTATCTTATTATCTCTGTGTTTTAGGACATTCTGTTAATCCTAATGTATTTTATTTACTACTTGAAGGCATCCTTCTAAGTAGTCGGATCTCTAAGGTGGTTGTAATGTATTACCATGAGCTCCCATAATCGACGTTGTTTGACTAATAATTTTCTCACACGACGCTTCATCGCACGTCAAATATCATTTGAATAATAAAGAAGTTATTCTGCCGGGATTGTAGCTAGCAATCGCAGGTGGGGGTGTCAATCCACGTATATATCTATCAT